TCCGCATTCCCATGTGCAGTGGAGTCCAAGAGGTTTGCAGCACTTCTCCAGAGCCTTCTGGCACACCAAAAGGCACCTGGATCAGAGACACTGACACAGATGTGCCGAGTGCTCCAGTTCTCCCTCCAGGAACACTTACTGCCACTCACAGGCACAATCCAGCAAGCCACCTTGGCAGTGATGGAGCTGTTGCAGCACAGGGACTGTGCTGAGGCCATTCCCAGTTCCTGCATTGCACAAACTGGGCTTTCCAGTTCTCTCTTTCTTTTATAATTGAAGTAAATATTTGTGTTTAAGTATTTATTTCTGGAATTTTACATTTCCTCATCCAGGTCCTAGGGCCATGGGATTGGTTTTTTAAACAGATCTTGAGAGATCTTTGTGCTAGTTTCAAAATATGTAGAAGTTCGAGCAATTCTGGAGCTCCTGCTGAAGGGGTATAACACAGATTACACACTTGCAGCCAGGTGCTGGAGTGAATGGCTTGTTATATGCAGGAAGACAAAGAAGAGGAAGGAGAACTGATTACAAGCCTCTATTCTGTTTCAAAAGTTGTCCATGCTGCTTTCTTCTCTGAATTTATTTGGAGGGATTGAATATGGTTTATCTTCATGGGCATTTTGTAGCTGCATATTTTTGATAAGGAGAGGTTTTAAAGAGTGTTTAATGATTGGTGCAACTCTAAAGCAGAGCTTTGGCACTCAGTGTGTGTTGCTGGGTTTTTAGTAGGTGTGTTGACTGCTTTTCTTTTAGTTTTGACCCAGGTCAAATCCAGTTACCTGTGCTGCAAACACACCAAGTAAGGGCAATCCCCCAACCATTTGCAACAAAGGTCTGGTCTGTTTAGGCTCTAGATGGAGCTGTGACTTGTACCATCCTTTTGGTCTTGGATCTTGGTCTATCTGCTGTGAGGTTTAACGCCATTCCTCCCCTTCCAGCAGCACTTGTATATGACAGCCACAGGCTGACCTGGAGGGACTGGACCAGGGCAGCCTCTTGAGTGCCTTTGCAGCATGCTGGGAGTAGGCCAGAGGGGGAAGGGCCTGGACCTCTCCCCCAAGATCTCACCCACCCTTTCCTTCCTTCTTCTGCTGGCCACCTCTTTGCTCTCTCCTTTGCTGGTGCATACTTTCTCTTATTCTTTTTTGCCTATCCCAGGTCAAGCCTCACCTCTTCTTTTTGGTTCTGTTTCCATGGCTCAGAGCTTTGCCATGTTGCTTTGCTCTTGTTTTGGAGCTGGCTGAGGAAAAGTCTGCTTATCCTGGCTTGAACCTGGACAGATGAACTGAATTCCATTCCTGCCTCCCATCACGGTTTTAAGCTGATCTTGTTTCTAGCACAGCAGTGATCTCTGCAGTGGTCTCTGGTGGGCTGTGATGGTTCACATGTCTCCAGAGACAGTTTGGCCACAGGCCTGCATCCTTTGGAGCATCAGCCTCACTGTACCTCGAGATCAGTTTGCCCATGAAACTGTAATATCTACATAACTGCTCCGCCAGAGCCCACAGCTCCCAGTGTTGTGTTCCTGCTGCCTTTCCCATGGTGTCTGTCACATCAGGAGAGCAGGAGCAGGTCTGGAGGAGGCTGAGGCAGAGGTAAAAACTGTGGCTGCCAGTGCTCATGAGAATACTGTCTGTTGTTCACAGAAGAAAAATCCCCTCACCCAGATGTCCTGGCCCCATGTTTGAATAGTAACATTAGATGGACAAAGAGAGACACAAATTGCTCTGCAGGTTTGTTGTCAAAAGAAGAATGGTCTGAAAGCACTCTCAGGGATAAAAGCTGGCACTGAGACAGGAGCAGCACTGTCATGCCTTGTGGGAGAAACCAGGCTAGGAGAAAGGAGAATTTCCCTTCTTTTCACTGTCACTTTAGTAGGTTGTCTGTGTCCTAAGGCAGAGCAGAATAGAGGCTTAGTTGAAGGACTGACATTTGGGATACAAAGAGAATCTAATCTATTAATGTTACTTAGGCATGGCTGTAGCTCAGCACTGCCTCTGTTGTTACTGTCAGTCTTCTCTTCTCGTGGGGAGAATGGGTTAGATCAGACCCTCAGCTGACACCAAAGATGTGGTTCGAATTTTATGGCACAGAGGAGTCTGCGGAGCTGGCTATTCATGCTGCTTTGAAAAGTCTCCCCAGCCTCCCTGCGCCTCCTGTGTTGTGTGGAGGGTCCGAGGGACCCCAGTTCTCACCTCCGCTGTCCTGGGGGGTTTGCAACTCCCTGGGGGTTTCTCTGCCATTGTTTGTCTAACAGCATCGTTAGTTCTCTCCTCACAGGCATTTGTCCTCCATGGGATCAGTCTGCCTTCTCAAACAGCAGCACATTTACCTTGTCCAGCACACAGCTCTGGAGCTGGGATGTGCTTACCTGCCCTGGTACAAGTGCCTAAAGCCATTTCCTGCGGGATAGTCTGTACAGTGCTGCTGAGCACTTTGCCTTGTGGCAAATGTGTTATGATGTAATCTTTGTTTGTGAGTTCTTTATTTGAATGCACAGCTAGTAAGTATGTTTTTGGTGTGTGGGGGCTTTCCTTGGGACAAAGTATGCTCGCGGGGTGCTGAGCTGGGGAAACCCTGTGTTTTTACCATCCTGCTTTTTAAAGCACAGATGCACAAACACCTCTGTAGGATTCAGGAATCACAGACTGCAAAATCTCATGCTGGAGACAACATTTTAATGTTAGATGAGATACATCTAGCCATGTGCATCAGTTTCTCAAGCAGAAATGAGATGAAAAATTGGAAACTCATGGAGCAGCTCAGGAAAGCTGGTTTCTAAACCCAGCCCTTGGACTCTGGGAACATCTGGCTGAGGTCTCAGTACCCAGAGTGCCCCAGGGATCCCCAAGTGTTAGGGATCTACAGGTGCTGTGACTTTTCTCCTGAATGTGACTGATCCTGAAGCCTTGGATGGATCCTCAGATGGATGCTCTGGCAGTGGCAGTGCCCACCAGCTCTCCTTTTTGTATGAGACAAAGCACTTTGCAAGGTAAGAAGGTGGTGGAGCTTTGGAGAAGATGGGAAAAGCCAGGCTGATAGATTAAAATATATGGGATGGTCTTTGAGAGACCTGTTGATCCCACAGGCAAGCAGGACACCACTGAGCAGTTGTTGGAGCTGTTTTTATTTTCTTTTTAAAAATTCGAGTTGAAGATCCTGGCTAATTTCTAGGCCCTTTCTCTTGCAAATTTTAATTAAGAGTAAGTAGGTAAGTGGCTTGGATCTCTGACATGACTCCTTATTAAATTCATTCTCTCAGACTAGCTTTGATTCAATCAGAAATATTTAATGATGGGAGCTCATTCCCTTAAGGCTGGGTCAATGTTTGAGGCTGGCAAGGGTACTGAGGAGGTGGGGTCCCTGCAAAGCCAGCACAAATCCTGTCTGGCATCAGGGCAATGCAGGGGATGTCTGTGCCAGGTTGTCATTAGATGTCTGGGCTGCTTTGACTAACAGAGCCATGAATTACTCTCACTCTGTAGGACTGCTGGGTGAGCCTTGGCTGATCATGAGTTGTGCTGGCTCCAGGAGAGAGCCTGTTTCTCCTTTAAAAAGCTGGGATTTAAATAAGTTTCATGGATGTCATTCCCTTAAGTCCCACCTTCCCTCAGCAAGCAAAATCATGCCAGTTTGTGGTAAGTAAATGTGTATGGCACCTGTACTGTAATGGCTGCAGCAGGGAACCTGGGATTTGGATCCCACTGTGCCACTCTCACTGGGTACTGAAAGCCCAGGTCAGCCTGCAACAGGTCTGCTGATGCTCCCCTTAAAGCTAACTGGCTTCTTCAGCTTGTAAAACCCCTGCAATCTTACTGTCTTCAATAGAAATAAATTAATTTGATTCATACCCAGGACAACTTACATAAATGTTCAGGCCAACTTCTCCACCAATATGAGATTTTTTTTTCTTTCTTTAAAATCTGGCACTTCTTAGTTGAAAATCAGTGTGCCCACTGGCAATCTTGATGTGCTAATCAGGAACCCCCAGGAGCTCTTATATGGTCGCTCCATGTATCCACAGCAAGAACTGTGGAGGTACTTAACTGAGAAACTTGCTAAGAAAAATGGTTTGTAGCAGCAATTTTCCCTCCAGAAGAATATGGGCTTCTGCATGAGACACACTGCAGGCCCCAAGTGGCCTGGCTGTACTGTGCACAGGTGAGAATTACACTGGGAGTGACTAACAAAGCAGTGACTTTATCAGCTGGAGCTCGTACTCAGGTGTACTCAGGTGTTCTAAAGCAGTCACAGGTGATGGGCAGGGCTGCTGGGGAAGGAGGAACGCAACTGCTGCTGCTGCCCATTGAGTGCACAAAACCAGCCCCCCTAAATGGAGTTGTGCTTTGGGAATTCCTGGGCTCAGAGGCTGACAGGACACTAACAGCCTCATTGGCAGGTTTGTGTCAGTGGGTGGGCTAGGGGAGACCTTCCCCAGGATTTTGTGCCATAGCTACAGTGCCTTCCCAAACTTTCTGCAGGAGTGGAGCTAGTGGTGGTACAGCCACCGAAAGGTATTTCACGGAGGTGTCTGGTGTCCAAAGACTGGCCTCAACCACCTTCTTTACTAACTTTTTTCCTTTATTTCCAGCTAAAGCCTATCCTGGTTTTTCCCCTGGATCTCAGTGACTGCAGCAGGCGCTAAGCCTGCACACCGTTGCTATCTAGTGGCCAGAGGAAGGTAGTGGAAGCATTTTTCACGGCTGGTTCTGTGCAAGACGGCTGTCTACGGAGATACAGGCAGGAATCCATTACATATATTCATACAAATTGTCGAGGTAACTGCTATTTTTCACTGTGTTAGATATTTGAAAATTGTTTTGCTTCATGTTGCAGTCACGGAGGAATAAATTATTTAAGCTATAGTCCATTGCAGTTGTAGGCTGCATAACTAAGGGACTTCATAGAAACTAATAGTGTTGGGGTTTGATATACTTGAAATCTGCTGAAAAGTAGAACAGGGACAAGCCACATTACAAAGAAAAACACTGGTAGCATAATATACTCAACATTTTATTATAAAACCCTCTAAAGCGCCACTTGATAGGTCACAGTTACAACAAAGGAAATGCCTTGAGTTAGGAAAACAATGGGGAGGCAGAGAGACATTGTTTAACATTTCTTGTTTTGGGGAAGTGTGTTGTTCAGGCCTTGCCTATGTTTACCATCCCCTGATGGAGACATCCCAGCAGGATCACTGAAGCTGACTGGGCTGTGGAGGGGAAAGCAGATCTGTTCTCCTCCATTGCTGTCTCAGTACCACTGTGAAATGTCTGGACAACTTCTGGAGGATGACAGCGGGTGTATGGTGAGAGCATGGTACTACATGTATATTTAGGGTGTAGAGAGGGTCTCTTGCCAGTTCATCATGGGTCAAAACAAAGGCTTCATGTGTCTGTGGCCTTCCTGTACTGTGGAGAGGGAAATCCCCAGGGTCCTGAACTAGAAGATTCAGTGGTTTATTTGTATGAATTTTTTCTACATGTAAAACCTTTCACGGGGACAACTTGACAGCTGGGGCTGATAAAACTACTCCTGAGGTCTGGAATTAGCAATTTCTCCATCTGCACCACAGTGGACACTTTTAAAGTTAAAAAAAAAAAAAAAAAGTTAGCAAGTTCTCCTTTTTTGCTTCCAGGTACCCTGACCAAGTGCTTTGTTGCATCCTGGCTCTGTGGCTGTGGCCAGCAAGTCTAGAACCCCTTCTGGGCACACTCTCACTCACCCCAGTGCCACCACCAGCTCTAGATGTCACAGCTCTGTGCAACCCCCCGGCTGTTTGGCCTTTGTGTGAAGAAGGAACATCCCTTTAGAGGTCATCTCAAGCCTGTCAAAGATTTTCAAGGGTGAGGAAGGTAAAACATTTTTCCTGTCTGCCTTTACCCTGGGTGCTGCTCACTGGTGTAGCTACAGGACTCCAGGAAGAACCCAGCCAGGGAACTGGTGCTGCTTTAACTTTGTAGGGTTGGAAAACACTTCCAGCCCTGTACAGCCAACCCAGTTACTGAGCCTGGGCTCCAGGGCTGAAGGACCATCAGAGGAGACAGGCAGAGGTGTCCCCAGGCCATCAGAGATGGCAGCAGGCTACAGGGAGGAGAGTGTGCATAGATTTGTGCCAGCCTGCCCCCCTTCAAATTTCAATGTCTCTAAGTTTAGCAGTTTCAAATATCCAGCATTTTCATTAGAAAGCGTGGCTAGGGCAGAGAGGTGTGGGCTTTGTGGGCCACACTGCCAGGGCCCAGTGTTCAATAATTTGGAAATAAGGGTGATAGCACCAAGATGGCCAGCAGCTCACCAGAGATGTGGCAGTGCAGCCTCACTGCAAGCAGACTGCTCAGCCCTGCCTGTGTGGAGGGGCCCCTTTTGCACAGGGATGTCTTCAGCAGATTGTACAGCTGCAGCTCTGTGAGGATCACAGACCATCACAGCAGGGGCAGGAGAATGGGGACAACTTTACCTCCCCTCTCCTGGGAAAGAGCAAACCCTGAAGGATACACTGAGATCCACCTTTCCAAGAAAAAAGCTGAGCAGGCCTTCAAATATGATTTCTCTTTTTTTTTTTTCCAGACCAAACTCCTCAGGAGACCAAGATCTTCAAGAAAATTAACTGCATCTGCTTCGCAGATCTTCTTTGCCCAGAGCACTTGGTGCTGCCAGTCTGTAACAGAGCTTGCAGCACGAGAAAGTGACCAGCTCAATACTCTGGCAAATCTGCAGCTGACAGGAGTAAGCAAATGCTGGAATGCACGAGGACACTCATTAAAACGCCCTGGACAGGCTTCTGTGTGCTTCTCATTCATGTTTCAAGCATTGCTCAGGTGTGGGAATTGCCCTTGACTGAAGGCTGGATGAAATGCAGCTGAATGATGACTGGCAGCAAGGCAGGCGAGACTTTAGTTGACTGCAATTTACCAGGACAGGTTGAAACCCACCAGGGTATAAAGAATAGCAGAGGCCCCTTCTGAACCCACTACAGTCACTAATATAGAAACCTTAATAACTCATTGATAAACCTTCAGAGTAGAAATACACAAAACACCCCTATGTACAGTAACATTCTTGTTTACATCAGCTGGGTTAGGACTTTGATGGAAGGATTGCCACTGGTTGTTATTGTTTTAGCTACGTGATTGGGATTTGTCTGGAAAAGAGCAAGATCATTTGGGATAACTCGTTTTGGCAGCTGTTGAGTCCATTGCTGCGTCTGAGGAGTTGGCGCGACGTGGAGGAGGTGCCTGGTGTGTGGTTGTGTTGCACACCCAACCTCCACCTACAGATGGTTGAATCCCCTGGGCCATGCAGAGAAAATTGGAGTCTTTAGTCCATCTCTGAAAAACATGCTTCTAACTAGCTCCCTTTTTCTCCCATTCCTGCCAAGGAATAAAGGCAAATTAGTCAAAATGCAAATCTGGCAAGCCACGATAGCCATAATGCGCACAGGATCAACGTGATCGTCTGGTGCCTCAGTGGTTTTGGCTGCAGGGTGGGTCAGGGATATCTCTTCATTATAAGCAATACACATATTTATTCATTTAAATTGCAGGCAAAGCAAACCCAGGTGAAAAGACTGGAGGAAAACCAGGCTGATGTGCTCTGAATGGTGCTTGGTCAGGGGTGCTTCCCAAGATATGAGACCTCCCACAACCCCATCCCACCACAGCCCATCTGATCTACTGCAAGGAGAGAAAAGCAGTGGCTGTCCCAGATGGATTTTTCTCCTGTGCAACTGATGTGTTACCTTAGCTTTCTGTAGGACTGTTCCCTTCCCCGTGACCATGACAGATAAAGGCCGGTTTTTTAAAGCCGTTGCTGAGTTGACGGGTGAGTTCTCTGTGCTGTTTGCTGGGCTGGCACTTTTTACCTGAATGTACAATAAAAATCAGAGAGATAATGATGACTATAAACTACTCAGAAAGATTGCTGCCTTTTCCCACTTCTCCCACCATTTCCTAGTTACAGTCTAATCTATGCACTGAGGCACATTGTTTCAGTGACATGCTAATTTCAAAAAAACACCAGGATGTGTGTGTGTGGTGTGTTTGGGTGCTGAGGACTCAGGCAGAGGTCCAGAGCAAGGTTCAGGTGGTGAGCATCTCAATTTCATGGGAACCAAGTTCCCAAGAAGGAATTTAAATGCCTCTAGCTCCTGCAAAAATCACCCCTTGGCTCAGCTGAGTGCAGAAGGAGCTACGTCCAGACCTGCACAGTCCTGGAGGGTGTTGCTCAAGGCCAACAAAACAGAGCCACTCTCCTGAGCCCCAACCACCTTTCATGACTCCAACACTGCTGTTACCTCATTAGATTATTATTACGTTATGTATATTGTATATAACATAATACTTAGATAATACATATATGCTATAAATTTATACAAGATTACATGTTATAATACTGATGTATTATTAATTATTATTAAGCAGGCTCAGACAGTGTGACTGCCTAGCTGCCAGAGAGCTGCTGTGCATCCCAGGGGTGCCCCCCACATACCCGTGGGGCTGCATTCTCCAGGTGTGTGGTGTCCACTGCAGTGCCCAGCGTTACTGGGCCAGACTCTGCCTTCTTCAGGTTCTCCTTCACCTCCACCAGGCTCAGCTCCAGGTCCACCCTCTGGCTCTCTTTCCTTTTGCATTCTTCGTCTATCTCCTTCAGCCTCTGCTCCAGGCTCTTGTCTGTGAAAGAAGGACTATTGTGGTGCCTGCTGGGAACTTTGGGAGCTCATGAGGGGAGGAGGGACCAGGGCATGTCTTGTACATTTTCCTTATGTTTTGCCCTAAGAGGGTCTGTGGCAGAGCAAGTTCTGGCTCTAGTGCAACCTGGGCTACATGGTTTGACTCAAAGCACCAAGTTCCCCCTGGCCCTTCTGGTCCCAGGTTCATTGCTCCCCTCTTTCCCTGTGGTCCCTTGGCCCATTTCCACACATCACACCTTGCCCTGCTCTACCTGTGCTGCTCCCGAGCATTTCCTTCAGCTCCCGTCTCTCCTTGCGTAGCTGGGTGAGCTGAGCCCGGATTTCATCCTTCTCCTTCTCCAGTCGTTCCTTCTCCTCTGTGAACCGCTTCACCTCTGCCTCCGTCCTGTTCTTGCCCAGCTTGATTTCCACTGCTGCTGCTGGAAACACAGCACACCAAAACAAACTCAGCCAGGGGGAAAAAAGCAGGAGGGAAAACCTTTTCAGGTGCTTAGAAACAACACACATGAGAGTCTGGAAAGTCAGCAACCAGGAGACTCATCAGCCCCTTGGGCACTGTAAAGCTGCTCTACAGCAGCAGCCGAACCACAGGACACCACCTCCCTCCAAGCCCCTGCTGCTGAGGCACTCCCTGGCCACTTGTGCAGCACACTCACCTGGCAGTGGCATCTTGGGCCGGTGTGCAGGCACCAGCTGGGGGCTGCCCGCTGGCACTGGGCCCGCTGGCACCTCGGGGGCCGGCTGGGGGAAGGCGATGCTCTGCTGCTGGGGCTGGATTTTGACAGGAGGCACTCGTGGCAGCGCCTCCTCGGGCTCTGGCTTCTCTGGGTGTTTCTGGGGAAGGGAGATGAAGTGGGATGATGTGGTGGGGGGGAGCTGGCTCACTGATTAAGCCAGGCCCTGCACCACAGTTTGGACAGTACCTGCTCCGAGGGCTCCATTGCCTTGGTACAGGGCTCGGCTTCCTTAGTCACGAGGGCTGTCTCCACTGTGGTCTCAGCAGTAGCCTTGCTGGCAGCCCTTTCCAAAGATGGTGAGCTAAGGGGTGAAGGCTGGCATGACATCCTGCCAGCACAGTGTAGGAAGGACTTTACTGGGGTGAGATCCAGATACACTCTGTCTTGGTCCCCTTCCGATTTGCTCTCATTCTTAGGTACTTCTTCCTGCAAAAGGAGAATGTTCCCCTGAAAAGGGACCATCTGCTGCAATCAGAAGTACAAGAAGCATCTCGCTGCGGAGCAGCAGCATCTCACACAATCTGGAGTATTTTCCAAAAACCTTAGAGAAACTAAAATCCCGTTGTCTAATTCATTCTGTACAAGGCTTTTTGGTGTACTGAAGGAAAGGCCCCTCCTGCTCTCCTTCTTTAGGTCTCTAATAGTAGCAGCAGCCCCATGCAAGTATCTCACACCATTGTACATCCAGCAACCCCTGCCAGATTCTTTGCCTTTCCTGGGATAACAGTCCCTATTCCAGCATGACCCATCATTCTTGCCCTTACACACAGGACTTGGTCTTACAGGCAACAAAAACCCCACTATCTATTATGAAATAATCCATGCTGTTTGCTGACGGAAACTGGGGGATTTTATCCCAGCTTCCTACAGCACCTTCCTGGAAACCTCTTTCCCATTCCCTAGAAACTCCTCTCCAGCATTTGCTTCTGCTCCATTGCAAAAGCCAGGATTTCCCCAGGGTCTGAGAATCCCCTTCATCACTGTTGGGAAAAACTTCCCCTTTCACTGCTGGTGACTCTCCATGGCCAGATGTTTGCTAGTGGTCCCCACAGAGCTCACTGCAGCAGGGCCTGTGCCTGTGGCACTGGACATCTTACCACAGGCAGGTCTGGCAGATCCACATCATCATACAGCTCCTCCTGCTGCAGCCGGCCCTTGGGCAGGTTGTCGATGTAGGCGTTGGGCTCGGAGTACTTCCTCTGCATGAGGCTGTGAACAGGCAGCAGGACATCCCATCAGGAGGGATCAGACTTGCTGTGTGGCTCTGCAGTGCTGCGTTTTGGGACATCTTGGCACAGCAGTCCTGAGGTCTGGGCAGAGCCCCGCAGACCAGATGCAGATGAGAAGGCAGAGCCATACAGGCAGTGGGATCACTGCTCCTGTTGCCCGTTAAGCAGCGCTCACCAGAGTGGAGCTGCATTTCCCCTCCATGCTTTCCATTCTCACCCAGCCCTCGGGCACAGCACCCCAGCAGCACAATCACCCTGCCCCAGTGGCATGGTGAACTGGGGGCTGTGTGCCCAGAGCCCTGCACCCCCCAGCCAAGCCACCCCACCAACCTGCCTTTGCAAGAGCCACTTGGGCATGTGGCCAAGCTGCAGCTCAGTCTAGACGCACCATGGTAGGACAATCAGTGCTCTTATTGTCACACACTGAGCTTCTAAAGAAAGGGACTGAGCTGTAGCTGTGAATTCACCACCTGTTCCCACAGCAGCCAGCCTCCCACAAATGGACAGACCCCTGCTCAGGCTTGCTTCTCTCTACCAGCCCCACGCAGCCCCGACCCATTACCACTGACATACAAGAAGGAATTCTTCGCAGCGCTCACAATGCAGGAAACTCTGTCAGCATCCACATAATCGTACGTAAATTCCTCTGGGTCTGTTTTCGAACCCGATTCCGACAAGAGGAGGCCCAGCCAGTGGCCCATTTCCTCGGAGGACTTTGCCTACAAGGTGATCAGACAGACAGGACAGGCTGCAGCAGCACCTTCTCTGCACTCACAAGGCTAAGGCTGGCTAAGCCTTGGGTAGGGAAGCAGGCTGGCAGTTCTCTGGGCTTCCAAGGGGAAAGATGAATTGCTGGGTATTTATAATATACCTAAGGCTGCTCTGTGCATGGACTGATTCACGAATTTGGCAGCTACATACGTGCAGCTCTTTGCTTAACTCCTTCCTAAAATTTCTAGTCAGTCTGCATTTTCCTTTCGCTGGTGATAACTCAGCTGCCTACGAGAGTAAGAGAAGTCTCTGGGGCTGGAGATGCTGGCTGGGAACAGCTTTGGGTGTGGGTTTTATTTTGCGCCAGCAGAGTGCAGCAATGGGATTGCCAAAACAGACAGATGAGGAGACCCGAGCCTGTGAGGTCCTGATGCCAGAGCCCAAACCCCTTCCAGGGCTTTTTGCACAAGGGGAGAAGGGAAGTGAATTGTTTAAAGCATCAGAGAGAGTCCCTTGCTTTAACGTGGTTAAATTCCCAGCTGTGGTGAGCAGTTTGACATTTTGCAACAGGAAGAGTTAAATACTGTGCCTTCAAGTCGGCTCTAGCAAATAGCCATGTGCACCTCCTGGTAGCAGGGGATTCTACCTGAAGCAAGAAGTGGGCTGATGCAGCCACCTTCTGCTTTGATTTGAGGAGTCAGAGCAGTGAGCACAAAGTAAAATTCAGGGCAAGGGAATATACATATATATACTTCCCAAACTGGAAAGCATATTTTAAGCTTTCAATCTGTTTTATTTAGCAGAGACTTCAGTCCCTGGGAAGCCTGCCAGCCAGCCAGTCTGTACATTGAGTCTGACATTGAGTCTGACATCCCAACAAAATACAGATTCTTCCATTCACAAAATGTAAATTTTCTCAGCACCTCTACTTCACATCTGTAATTGGGCAAAATTTCTTAGATACAGACATACCCTGCACCAGAAGCTAAACAAAAACATCTTCCAATTTCACGGCAAGCCCTCAAAGTCAGTTGTTTAGCTATAAATATTCCACCCACTGGAAAAATACAGGAAATTGCTCACATTGTCCACCTCCTACTATAATCATGCTGTCGTCAGAGAGAACTAAGATTAGAGATAAACAGTCCTGGATGCAGGCAAAGGAAAGTAACAGATGGAGATGAATTCACTTGCACTTTCAGGGTCAGATCCGTGATCAGTTTACTTGGGATGCATGGCTTTGGGACTGCACTGTCAAAAGATGAAGTTCTCTGTTCCTCCCAACCATAGACTGAAATCCCTAAAGTGACATTTTTCTTATCTAACATTAACCATCTGGAATGCAGTCCACAGAACTTAAGTATTCAAAGAGAAAGATGGGCATCTCCAAAAGACCCTTCATCCCATTCTAAGATGAGTGCCCAAGATGAAGGCTGAATGGTCCTTGGGAGCCACCAGCATCAGACACAGCCTGGATTACCAGCTAGATGGGACACATGAGGGTGACCACAGGCAGATGAACCCAAGTCCCACACTTCAGGTTCTGTTTTGCTGGACTGAGGGCTCCTCTGGAGGACCTCACTGGCATTTAGACCTACTAAGGTACCCAAGCTGATGACTTAAAGCAGAGCTTTCTTGTACATATACACCCTACCTCCAAAATGACCCGTTCTTCCCCGTTCTGCAGGATGCGGAAGGAGTAAAGATGATCAGGGCTTGGCTCTGGGATAATTTCACAACCTGCCAGACTCAAGGGCTGTTGAGCCAGTTTGCTTCGGTTCTTGTCCTGGTAGAAATGGAGGTGACCATCTTTTATCTGACACCAACGTGACTTCCACTGGCTGTTCACTAGCACATTCAGGTAACCTGCAAGCAAACAGAGCTTACTTAGACATGTTTTCCATCCCTCCGGTTGAGAGAACCCAAATTCATTTGTCTGATGTCTAATGGGTAAGTTAGAGACCACTACACAACACAAAGCCACAGGCAAAAATAAAGAGCAAAAGCACAAGGACAAGCTGTCCTATCCAGTGTGAAAACCAAAAATATTTTCAAAATGAGACTCTTGAAATTCAGCTTAGGTTTGGAGCAGCAAGTTGGCTGCAGTGGTTGGACAAAGTTGGTCCTAGATTGTCAAATACCAGCTGGCCACACAACTCTCTCCCTGCGGACTCCCACAGCCTGGGCTGGTGCCAAGGAAGAGCAGCACAGATGCCCTCTGTGTGCATGTCTGGCATTACCTGCCCTTCCTCTTGGGTCACCCTGTGAGCTCTTGCCTGCCCTTGTAAGCCCAACAGTCACCTTAATGTGCAGGAGGCACCACAGTCTGCTTGGATTTATTTGCAGGGACCAAGCAGACCGTGGCCTCTTTGCCACCAACAGCAGGACAGTCTGGCACAGGCATGTTTGAGGAGAATGATGCCTGGTGCTCATCCTGCCCTGCACACTGAGGTCCAGCCCTGAGACAGGTCCCTGCAGAGGGGCTCAAGCTGCCACTTACTTGAAGTCTCCAAGGATCTCTCTGGGCTATCCATGGAGCTGGACTTTTTCCTCCCGAGGTTCATCAGGTTGCTCAGTTTCAGGCCAGTTGTGCCCTTCTTCTTAACTACCGGAAATGAAAAAGACACATGCATGGCTTTCCCAGCTCACAGCCGTACACACAGCCTGCCCCGAAGCTTGGTGTCCTGCCCCAAAGCTGCCTGTACTGCTGCCCTGCACCCACAGCACACACAGCACACACATCCCTTGCAGAGGGCAAACCTGTGACTCAGGGACAGGCTGTAATAGTCCCAAGCCCAGGGAGTCGATGAGCAAGATGGCACCAGTCAGCTCAGTTAGTGATTTGTTGAAGATTCTCATCTATATTGCTTTAAACTTGGGTTAGCTCTGACCAAAGGCCAGTCACTGCAGGAGCGGTGGGAAGGCTGTTTGCACAGGTCTTGCTGTGAAAATCTCCCTTCGCTTTCTTATACTACAAAGAATTGAATTAAAAACTATTAACCATAAACATTTACTGCATTCAGTCTTTTTTTCTATAAAACAGGGATGCAAGGTAGGGAGAGGGAAAATTTACATCCAAAGAGCCTCTTCAGCATTTTCCTACTGAGCACATCAGTCAGTGTGTGCATAAGGTTGTGTCATCATCAGGGAATCCTGGTAAGAAATTGACTTGGATTTTTTTAGTCCAGATTTTCCTTCTCACTATCAGAACAAAATGACGAAGTCCAAGCAGAGAGGGACAGCAGCTGAAGTCCATTTGCTGGGTGACTCCAGTGGGTTCACAGCATGGATTTATCTCTCTCTGATATAGAGATGGGTCCCACATCTTTCTAAGAGACCATCTCCTCTTTTACTGTACTTACCTGCCCCAGCTTAAATTACACCTTCACACTAGAGCTTCACCCTAGTGTGAAAGTGTAAGTCTCCCATTGGAGGCAGCTCAGCATTTCACAAAGGACTCCATGTTTCTCTGCAGACATCTCTGAGGAAAGTTGGCAGTTATGCCATCTCAAACTGTCCCAGAGGGACTTGCCCAGAGACATATAGAAACTCTGTGGTAGACCAGGTATCAAATCCAGGCTTCTCAAGCCCTATCCTGATCCTGAGAAACCTCAACATCCACCTGTTACTTCATTATGAAAAATGAAGTCAAACTCACAATCAAATTGAAATCAAATTCACAGGCAGTGAATGCACACACAGCTTGCACCCTGCATCAGGTCCAGAAAAAGCTACACAAACCCTTGCCTCATGCAGGGTCAAGTGCCCAGTCTCCCCGTCATTCCCAGGGTGAGGTTTTACCATCTTTTGTCTCAGCTGTCTCTGGGTGGCCATCTGTGCTGCTCCCGCTCTCGGAGGCTGCAGAGTATCTCTCGGATACCTCCACCTGTCAGCAAACACCAGACACAAGCTCAGCAGATGCACGTGACCCATTCCTCCTGACAGAATGTGCCACAAGGACCTTTTCCCCCCCCTCTTAAATTACAAGGTTCCACGTTCTCTGTAGCAGATGCTTTCACCCACACATCCCCTGCTGGCTCCCTCTCACTGTGCCCTTCCCACTGTTCCTGAGCTCAGCACGGGCAGATCCAGCACACGCAAACCCCCAGCTGGGCTCACCTCTGAGGTGACGTGGTGGCACCACTGATGTCACCCTTTGGCCTCCTACCCTGCAGCCTGGCTGGTGGGGGCATTTGACAGTCCCTGTAGGAGGGCATGGGCAGAGGAACCAGCCAGGTGCCCAAACAGGTCCATTTTGGGTGTGCACCAGAGACTCACGAAAGTTTCTTTCTCCTCCCAGTGTTTTGAAACAAGCTGGTCATAGGGTAGTGTCACCTAAACCTGGACTAGAGATGGCCCAAGCCCTGGCGTCCAAGGGTCTATGTCCCTCCCAAAGCTCTTGGTGAACACAAAAATCCCATTGGATGAGATAGTGGCTGCTGCCCTGCATGGTGGAGACCCACATGCTGAGTCAGTCTGGGGGAAAAGATATGGCAACAAAATTAAGATTGCAAAGGAAAATTAAGATTGTTCCAATAATGCTCCTTTTCAGCAGCACAGGGGTCTGGTTACACTCATATCAGTCTTTGCTCAGGTAAAATTAGGCACCTACACTATTATTTATTGAAGGAACGGGGTTAAAAAGCCCAAGTACTAGTTCTCTCTGTAGATACAAGATGTACCTTTGGGTAGCTGAGGCGCTGTGAATCTGGGATGTACTGGTTGCCTTCACTGGCTCCTTCGCACAGCAGACCACTGGTCTCCTGGATTACCTGTGCAGAAGGGGAAGCCACAGCCTGTCAGAGAGCTGCAGGATCTACAGGATCAATACTTCTCCCCCACCCAGCAGCCTGGGAAACCCATGGTTTATAGTCCCTGCGACCCTAGGGTCTGTCCTGGTGTTGCAGCAGGTATCCAGCGGGAACTGGTGGATCCAAGTCAGCTGGGAGAGGCTGCCAGCAAAGGCAGCTCTATCGTCTCGCTGCCGTTCTGGGCTCCACGAAGGCTCCTTCTGCTGCTGCTGCTTCAGGGGAAGGGCCACCCCTGCCCTAAGCCAATTTATGCTGGGCACCCACGCCAGACATCTCCCCCGTCACAGCAGCTGTGCTGGGAGGCCCCTACATGGACTCCAGCATGCCAAAGGTGGCAGGGAGCTGCAGGAAGAAGCTATCCCAGGACATGAAAATGAAGTGGTATATTTGTATAAAGGCTTGTGCCGAGGAAGGGAGCCAGAGCACACAAGGACAGGGCTGAGATAAGCTATGGTCTCCCAGCAAAGCATGGCAGCACCAGGAGGGTAAGTCCTGAAAGTGTCACTGACCCTGAGCCACTGCTCTGCCTGGTCTTTACTCTGCAGCCCCAGCACAATGACGTCAGCATTCGTGGGAATGATCTTCAGCTTGTGCTCTTTCTTCTTCACTTGCTTTTCCTTGTGAATGACAGTGCAGCCCAGCAAATTCACATCCAGCTGAGGGTTGTGGTCTTTGGAGCTCTTGTAGCACTGGGGAAGGAAGATGGGAGGGGGTGAGAGGCAGAGGAGGAGCCTTCACTCTCACTCACCAGCGTGAACTCAACCCCGTAAGTGACTCAGTGCCAACTACATGCATTAAGTACACTGAACACAAAAAGGTCCTATAGGTTTTACAAAGCTGTGTCCTACAAAGTACACAGACTACACACATATTTATGTGCATGCACACATAATCTGAAATACCTCTCACCGCTAGAGGGTCAAGTATGTGGTCAGTCTGTGGGATAAGCATCCCTTCTGCTTAACCACCTCAAATAGTTTCCCCAAAAGCGTCCCTAGGCATTTTGGGGAACTGGAATTTTGGCCACAAATGCACCCTTGTGCCTCCCTCAGCAGTCCCATGCCTACATTCCTTCTGAAAATGGAATGGAATCTCGAGATCTCTGGGACACATTTTTTGAAACACTGCTTCCAGAAGTACTTTGTTTCTGCCAGCTTGTTAACATGGCCCGAGGTGCCACTTCCCTCCCCAGTTCACACAAACAGATTGTTTTAGGCAGAGAATAGAGGATCTACCCACCAGCAACCTAGTGTCCTTGATAACACACAGCTGTTTTGCCCACTGTCCCAGCCACTTCTTTCTCCACAGGAAGGCACAGATGCGGGCATCCTTCATCAGCTCAATGGTGGCCTCCGTGGATGGCCACTGATGGGTTGCTGACTTGCCTTTGCTGCTCTCTTCTTCATCATAAGATTCATAGGAACTACTAATGGCTTCACCATCTTCTATAACAAAAGCAAAGCTCTATCATTAAATACATTTTTAGAATAACTCTGAGCCTAATGCTTTGCCTCAGCCATGCTCACACATGCAAAAGCTTCCAGTGCAGGGATGTGTCTTTTGAGGCTCTCCTACAGGAGGATAATAAATAGGAAAGTAACCCTCATAGATCCTTTTTTCTTTCTACCCCAATATGAATCTCATAGCAATATTTTGTGCCTAATAGCCTCCATTAGCAAACGCTCAAAAGACACTTCTCAGTTGACCACAAATTCGAGAACATTCCCTTAGACGTTTTCTGATATTTGCTGCTTCCTTCCCCCCCTCCAAAAAGACACTTTTTACATTTTCCACTTCAAGTCAAACACCGTTTTTAAGGCAACAGCAAACTACAATCAGCCCTTGCCCTCTGAATGTCAGAAGTACAAATGGTATTTGCAAGGCCATGCAGCAAGCAAGGATCTATTGCATTTGAGATGTCATTCCCCTTTACTGGGCTAACAGGTCCCTCTCCCTACTCAGCATCTAAGGGACAGCAAGAGGCTTTGAAGTAATACACTGTTGCAGCAGCAATCCATTCTTAAAAGGACTGCTATGCTACTAGGATGAATTGGGATTTTCAATACCCACATCTAATGTATTGTAGGTTATTGGAGTTTTCAGCTGATCATTGGTACCAGACTCATCAGAAACATTAAAAATGTTCCCTCTGACTGCATGGGGATTTGCAATGCTCTGCTGGCATTTACAGTACAGCTCTTATTCACAAGACAAGCTCACAGAGCAAGATGGTAAGATTTGGGCAGCATCTATGTAGGGTTTTGCATTCTTGCCCTACCAAACAGCAGGGAGGAATACTGTTAAGTTACTCTCACTGGAATTTAATTTTGATTCTCACCATATCTTAATATCTACATAAAAGTAATATTATCAGATTGGTGCAAATTAAAAAGAGGAAAAGCAGTCAGAAAAGAGACAAAGAAAAAGAAACACATTAGGAGCTCCAGTGAAATACATTTCAGTTGTGTTTATTTGTTCTTAAAATAAAAGGAACTGAGATGCACTAACATAGCTACAGCCCCAGTGAAATCTTACTCTATAACATCCCCCAAGTGATCAAAGCTGCATCAATTAAACTTATTAAAAAGCAAATACTCCCTTTCAAAGTCTCTGAATGGAGCACACTACTGGCTCACCATCTCCAACTCTCCATCTTTTATGGGAAACCTTTATCCCCTTCCATGCATTCTCACTATGCAGACCTTGTCCACAGGCATCCTGTGCAGAAACTCAGATGAAGTAAAAGTGTTGAGGTTTCTTAACCCTACAAACACCAAAAAGCTGAACCTCTGCACTGCTAGGGACTTTTCCTTATGCAGCAGCAACGATGCCTAAGGGAACCTCATCTAAATCTCCCTCAGTATCAACATGGGGCTATCGCTAACTGCCCCTCTGGCCCCTTTTGGGAGTCTCTGGTGTCCCTCACCCAAGCATTAGGTCTCAGGCTGCCACCTTTCTCCTGGGGAAATGGCAGTTTTCTTCCATGCTCTCAGTGGGAGTCCTGGTTGCTCTTTTGTGCATCAACCACAAACACAAGTGCGGTTCCTGAAGACATGAGCTCCTCTCTACTTGAAGAGCTGCAGTCGTTGCTGGCCTGGTGACACTGCTATGGCCTCACGATGGAAAGGCATTTACCATGATGTGCAACAAGGCAAACTGGGACAAACTTTGCCTGGGTGACTTGAGACAACACTCTGGTCACTACTAAGGCTCATTCAGTCTCAAGTCATCAGTGCAGCCATGATCTTGGGTGTCTTTATCTAAATCCACTTCTCCTTTTCTGTTTGTCTTCCCATGGCCTCCCAGGGAGCTAAATCAATGCCCTGATGCAGGAAGCTCCAACCCTCTCATACACCCAAGCTGCCTCTGCCCCAGCAGAGCACCTTCAACCATTCACCAAACAGCTACTCGTCAATACGGCCAGTGTTACCACATATCAGCTCCACATCAGTGACAGAACCAGGGGAATAAGAGCTAGGGAAGTTCTCTTCATTGTCATCCTGAGCACAGGGAAAGCCACAAAAAATAACAGGGAGAGGGGAGAGGTGGTTACCCTCCATGCAGGTAATAGGCAATGCCAGGGGGAGGTACCTGATAACCTTTGCTAAAACTGAGTTGTTGGGGATTTTTTGGTGGTGTTTTTTTTGTTGTTGTTGTCGTTAAAAAAAGGCACTGTAGGTTTGGAAAGCATGCCATACCCATTGTTATTGTGGCATAAATAACGCCCTCAGTAACCTGCAACCCTGGCCTGGGTCCAGCCGCAGCAAGCCTACCAAAAAGACCTGCACAATCAGAAGGAAAGAGAAAGGGAGACAAAGAGAAAAAGCCACAGATAAGCAAATGCAGAGAACAAGGGCGTCAATCCGGCTCAGCTCCCGGGCTCCCCTTGGCCAGTGAGGCTGTCCCATCCCTACACGACATATGTATGGTGAGACTTCAAAAAGGGACATTTTCAACCCATCCCCTCAAACAAGGCGATTCCCTTTAAAATTGAATCATTGTCATCATAATTAAAACCAGCCAGGGCAGAGGAGCTGTTTCAGCCAGAATAATTATTGCTCAGTTGGCAGCCGCAGCCACCCCTTGTGCTTTCACTCTGCTTCTTATCGCACCCTCCAATTATGCAAAGGCGGCGATAACGGTTTAACACATTTCAGCCCAGGAGGGGAGGGAAAGCAGCAGCATTTGCTGGAGCTGTAAAATGAAAGGCAGAGGCGTCCCCAGCGGAGAGGCGGGAATCCTGCTGATGAAAGAGGGACTGCAAGACCCAGCGGACTCGCCTGCCTGCTTCATTTTAATTAATACACCCACGGTTTGTTACAGTGCCTCGCACTCCCACCTCTGATGCTGCATGAAACCTCTATCTCCTCAGCCCATCTGGAAGCTTGCTTTGATGTCCTTTCTTGGCAGTGACCCCACTTATTTTAGTGGTGTTCCTATTTTTGTTTGATTTCACTACGCCCATTTGTTTGGGGACATATGGGTGTCTTCCAAGGCTCATGCTGTAATACTGTTGGAAACAGTATTGGAGACAGACTTATTACAAGATCATGTAGTGACAGGACAATGGGAAACAGGTTCAAATTGAAAGAAAGTAGATTTAGACTAGATATGAGAAAAAAATTTTTTACTGTGAGGGTGATAAGGAACTGGAACAGGTTGCCCAGAGAAGCTGTGGATGCCCCACCCCTGGAAGTGTTCAAGGCCAGGCTGGATGGGGCTCTGAGCAATCTGATCTGGAAGGTGTCCTTTTCCACAGCAGAGGGGTTGGAACTAGATGATTTTTAAGGTCCCTTCCAACTCAGGCCATTCTATGAAACATCACCAGCAGCTCCCTGGACTGGCCCCTTCCCTATCCAGCCTGTGGGGAAAGGGGGTAAGCACAGAGGGCCTGGGGGGTTACTGGGGTCAGGCTTTGGCATCTTTGGCTAGGGCAAACCCATGCATGTTCAGACTGCCTTTTAGCAACAGCAGTCACACCAAGGTCCCAAGGCAGCTGCTAGCAATGAGCATCACTCTGTGTAGGACAGGTACAAGGTTCTATCAGCATCTGATAAGTCAATTTGTGCTTGTTGAAACAAAAGGCAGGACAGGGATCTGCAGGTTTGCCCATGCACCGTGGGATTTGCAGCCTGATCTCAAGGCAAACTGGGGCACCAGCATCCACCCAGCATCGCTGCACAGCCTCCCCTCTGCACAGCACAGCACACTTCACCTTCTCCCGAGCCCCCCCAGCCTCCTCCTGCCACACACCTGCTGCTCCACATCTTTCCCTGCTCCTTCTGGCTCAGCCCAAGGCACCACCTCAAACATGAAGCTGCCAAAAAGCACAGAGACTCTCAGTGACACAATGCTGCCTTCCTTCTCACGCAAACCACCTTAAAAGCCATTGGCATTGTAGTACACCTGGAGATTTGTGTAGGAGGGACCTGCTGGGGCCTGCAGAGGGGACCTGTGGCTGAGCAGTCACAGGAGGCAAAGGCACCACACATCTCAGTGGTGAGACTGCCTGGAATCCTACATCCCATCTCTGTTGGCTTCACAGGCTCCTGTCTGCACTTACGGCTGTGGCACTGCTCAGTAAAACACTGAGCCCTCCGGTACAACAGCAGTTCACAGCAGCCCCAGACTGACCCATTGGCACCCAGAGCTGCCTCATTTTGGCAGCGCTCCCATTGTATGGGCTTTTCTCTCTTTTTACAGGGCTGATTTCCCATTTCCTTAGGCATCTCACTGTCCTAGATTTCAGTGGATGGTGGGTGTATTTGCATCTCTGAGCAGCAGGTTACTAAGCAAAAGCAGAGGTGGAAGCTGTGTGTGTGCTTATCGCTTCTGCCAGCCAAGTCTCTGAACTCAGGGCGAGTTTATGGAGCTGCCTGGATAACATAAGCTGGGTATCCCAGCACATGGATCCATGGCTGTAATCCAGCTAATCTGGCATATGTCTTTTTATGCCATGGTTCTTAACACATTATCCACATCCCCAGTGTGCAGCAGGGGAAAAAACCCCTTCATTTATCTTCAGGCAACTGGGACCTCCTGCCATGGGGATGAGGCTGCAGCACCCTGTGCTGCCTAAACTGCAGGAGAGCTTCCCTCCTGTGCCCTGTGCATCACAGCCCTCACCTCAAGCCAAACAACACAGAGCATTTCAGCAAAACACATGGCAGAGCTGGGGGGACCTCTCCTCTGCACCCCAGCCATGATGAGCCTGCAGCTTTTCTCACCTGAGCTGAGGTCTATCTTCTTGTTCACTGCTGTAATGCAGTTGCAGACAAATGGGATGGTTCAGTCAAACAAAGATCTTTTTACATCTCCCTCGTTTTGTTTAGCACTGTAACTCCTCATGAGAGCAGCGACCCATGCTGAGATATGAGCTGTCCTGGAGTGCAAGGTGCTCACAGGCAGTGAGTGCTGTTCAGATACATCAACCCTCGGCCACTTTAAACAGTGGCACAGCTGGTGCTTGTCTGCCAGGGAGCTTCAAAGCCCAGTGGTGCACACTGGGGCTGGAGAGGACTCAGCTTCTCTCACAAGCAGCTCAGACTCAACAGCCAAGGGTTTAGATCCAAATCTTTTACCCTTAACTCTCACTTCTTTGCTTGCCTCAACTCTCCCCGCTCAGCTCTGCCCCATGCCATGCACTCTGCTGCAGACAAGGCTGAGGAGCAGACACCTGCTTCTGCAGCAGAGCGATACAATCTGTCTCGTTTGTGCTTAAATGGATTATAAAGCGATGAGACGATCAGCTCCGCTATCAGATCAGAGGAAGGCAATCTCTCATGAAAGGTGTTCACCAAAAGAAGGATGCAGGAATACATCTTAAAAAGTGAGAATCTGGGAGCTCAGCCTGCATGCAGTTGTCTCCTCCAGAGGGGTGGGGAACCCACAGGGGAGGGGTGTGGGTGGCACTGCTGAGGACACGGCTGGAGGTGCTGACCCAGGCAGCGAGTGTGTGCAGAGGGAACACACACGCTGCCCCCTCACATGGAGCGTGGCTTTTTAATCCAGTCTAAAGATGGTTAAACTGCCACAAGAGACAGAGCTGAATAAATAGCCAATTATAAAAACGGTTATCACTCCTCACAGACCAACAGAGCCATGGACTTTGAGCCCCAAGGGGACAATTAGAGCACTAGGACATGAATGCAAGCCACCACAGCTTCACCACTCACTCCTGAATAGAAATCTGTGTTAGACTACAGCCTATCTGCCAGAAAAACATCCAAAGAGAACCTGCAATGGTTTGTAACATTTTACAGTGATGTTATATTGACCCAGGCATACTACTTACTTCTATAGGAAAGTTAAAATTTGAGTAATTCAGTAGTCTTTGCTTTCCAACTAGCATGAGATCTGTAATATCAAGTGTGATGAGCAGCAGAAAACAAACTTGTCACATAAGCTATAAGAAATGTCTGTGCTTTCATTTACTTATTCTCATAAACCTCAAGTCCTCCATCTCCCACATGAACCCCTGCCCCCAAGAGTTTTACAATATACCATTTACAGAGATGTCATATGGCTCAGCCTCTTCATAATATCCCTCTGGGGATTCGATCTTGGGGACTGGAGGTTGTTTTGTTTCGGGAATCTGCAAAACAAATACAGAAAAGAAAAATGATTTAAGGTAAAAACATGTCCCGGAAAACAATGGGGCACTCTTTGTCCTTTGTTTTTTAGCACTCAAGTGTATCCCAGTGGATGAGGTCTTTTAGATGTGTACACCAGGATGTGGTACAGTTAGCTCAAATATAAAGAAGTTCTTTGAAATTACTGTATAATTGTGTCATAAATGTTACTTTCTTTCATAGTGCTGAAAGCCCTGCGAAGATCAACTCACAGCAGCAATTGCAACCCACTGGCCTTACCAGTGGGGGCTTCTGCCTGCTGCACTGACCCCCCCTAAGCTGCTCATCCTAACTGGGGATGATCCCCTGTGCTATGGATTATCTTATCAGGGAGAACAACTGGTGCAATCTTGGCTTTACACTGAAAGTGCAGCCTGAGCAGTCACTGGTTATGACTTCAAGTCTCTGACTGATAGCAAACCAACAACTGAAAACCTCCGCTTTAGGAACTATATCAGGAGTCTTTAATTGTGCTCTGAACAAAAAAATTAAGGAAATGGATAAACAACACTGATGGAAAATAAGCCTTTGAAAAGAGTCCAAGTTCTGGAAAATCCCTGTGGTGCCTGCCAAACCCCTCCCTAAACACAAGCAAGGACTGGCAGGAAAAACAGTGCCTTGATCCTTTAGAAATACCAACACATGAGAAAAAAAAAAGTGAAGTTAAGAAACAATCTTTCTACTTTTCAAGTATTTCACATAGCTGTTGAACATGAGAACAGTTTAAGGCAAGATCAATCCATTTGCAGTATGCCAGTATCATCTAATGCAAGTTCAAAGCTGCCCATCCTGCCCTGGACATTTACACCTGGACATTTACACCTTCCTGCTACTGGTGCCCAGAAGCAGAAAGGAAGTTTTGAAGGAAAAGGTTTTTCTGCCAGCAGCAGCCTGGGAAGGGAAGCTGCTGAGCCTGTGGGAGTGAGGAACCCTGATCACACCAAAGTCATGCGTCTCTGCTCCCACATGGGCGAGCTACCCCTGGCTCTGCCAACCTCCCAAATTTCTCTAGTGTTTTGGATCAAAAACTCCTTCTTACGTGTGTCTGCCAGATGCTGTGAGCAGACTCTGAGCTTGCATTATGGAGCCAGGTAGAACACTGATGGAAAACACCTGCCCTCCAAAGACTTAAAGGTTTAGGAACTTGTCCTAATGTGTTAAATTAAAGAAACAAAAACAAACCCAGTCACTCCAAGCTTTACTTAATCCCTTCCCTGGCCAGAGAATGTGTCTGTAATTGCCATCTGTGGTGGCCTCCTGCATGTAGCCAGCTCACATTCTGCTATGACCATAAACAAATTGCCTACACAAAGAAACGCTGTGGGTTTATTTGACACTATCCCACAAGTGTCAGGGAAGAGGTTGCTCTGTTTTGTTTCCTACAGACAACAGAAGCCAACAGGGACTAGGTGGGACTGCACCTTAGCTGCCCCAGAAGCTATTTTTTTCTCTTCTCTTTCTCTAAAAGTGTGGAGTTGTTTTCTCTCTAGCTTAAGTTAAAGGGTATATATTGTATCATTTAACCATGCTGGTCCTTGCAGAACATGTGCCTGCTGCATTATGGCACAATGAGCATGCAAATATAACCACCTTGGGCATCTGCATCCGCCCCTCGCGACTCCTCCCAGAGGAGCTGCTGCAGAGGAGAGGTCACCAGTGTCTGAGCCACAGCCTGCAGAACTCATTGTTTAAAGGTTGCTTTGTGACAAAGCCAAAGAAATTAGTGGGATACAGCTGGGCCACCCCTGTTGGGTTGGCCATTGACTGCTGGTGTCAATGGACACCAGGGACAATCTGCTGTGCAGAGCTTTATTACCAGATTTCTCCTGTGTCTCAAAAGACAAGTGTACAGCAACACCACAGGGTGCCTTAGCATCACCAAACCACGGAAAACTCCACAGAGCTAAAACAGATCTAATCTGAATGCCTCTCCTAAGCTCCTAGTTTCTGTGTAAGTTTACTCCCTCCTCCTCCTCCTCTGCTCCTGCCCACACTGGAAGCCACAAATGCAGATAGGGATATCCATTTTCCACCAACAGCAATTTCCACACATTAAAGCTCTCCCCAGCCCTGCTCCTTGAAGGACACTCAGATATCTCTGCTGCCAACATCTCACTGACACTCAGATGCTCACAGCAAGGAGGTACCTGACTGCTGTATCCAAGGAGGGTTAGCTCCAATGGTAAGAAGGTGGGAGAAGGTCGTTCCCAGCACAGGTCTGTGAGAAGACAGATGGTTTAGGTACCCTTCTCACCTAAAATCCAGACTATCTTTTTCTAATTCCCTCATTTAACTTCCTGATTGCCCAATCAGAAAGCTGGGCTGCACCAAGCACAAGCGAAATGCCTTGGGGACACCCAGCTGCTTCCCCAGTTGTGCTTTCCTTCCACCACTCTGCTGTATTCCTGCCCACCACAAAACCCAAAGCCAAACAACGATTCCTCCTCTGGTCACTGCTCCCACTGCTCTCAGGCAAATCCAGCTCCAGTACTGTATTTCCAGCCAGCTGTGTGGGCAGAGCCCTCAGGGGCTGGAGCAGCTCCCAGCAGGCAACCACACTGCATCCGGCGGTTTGTCAGCTCATCCCATCCTACCCCCTTGTTTTCCCAGCTTCTCCAGCTAACTCCAGCTGAGATATAGCCCTCTGGGCAAAAGTCCTGGGGCCTCACCCTGCCCTCCTTCCTGGGAAAGGAGCAGATCCTCCTTTGTGGTTGATGGATGCACCATCCCATTCTCCTCCATGCCTGCCCCTCCTCCCCATACATACTCCCTGCCCTCCTTTCCTTTCACATCCTGAAATCCCAGCTACAGCAATTCCTACATTGCATCAACTACTGAACAACATCATCCAGGGTCTCAAGGATGACCCGTGCCTCTCTAGGACAGCCAGGCTGGCTGGCTGGCACGGAGACAACATCTCACTGAAACCTGATGGTGTTTACCTGATTTATAGCTGCCCTACAGAAAAATCCACAGTGCCAGAAACTCCTGCTCACAGACCTGTGGGCTGTGCAACCAGCATAACACCAGCACCCAAAGCAGAGACAGCACCAGGTGCTGCAACTGTAAGCAAACCTCTGGTAATGGCCAAACTGAGGAAGACTCTGCCAGCAAGGGAGATCCTGGTACTTCCCAGGGACCACCCCAGCACCCTGCAGCTGAAGGATTTCTGACTTTTACAAGTTTGTGTCAGCAGCCCAGGCACAGCTGCTTTATCACTCAGGAGATTTCCAAAGCAACAGCCAAGAACCACCATCACCTTTGTTTCATTGAAAATCTCACTTCTCCTTCTTTGAGCCTGGATTGCCATGCAAGGGATATGGGTCTCCCCAGCAGGGAACACAGCCCAATTTTCCCAGTGCTCCTGCACACTCACGGGAAGCTCAAGGCTCCCACAGCTGCCTGCTCCATCTGTGCACAAGCCTTGGGAACCACAGGGGTTTCTGGATGCCCAGCCATCCAAGGCCACCAGCCAGCTGCAGCGCCTGCACCAGCCACACACTGACCTGCAGTCTACAGAAAGATGGAACATACAGCTGGAAACCCCTAGTTCAATATTTTATTACTGTTTTTTAAATAAAGCTTACCAGGACTCTTTGCCTCACTCAATCCTTGGGCAGAGGTCTCTCCATCCAGCCACGCTGCACAGTGTGTGACAACAGTGAAGCGTCAAGGGGTTCAGATCCCCAGGAAAGCAAAGGATGTACAAAACTTACCTTGGGAGGTGGAAGGTCTGGCAGGCTCTTCTGAGGAGGCGACAAATGCAGTCCTGAGTCTCCATTGGTCAAGGAGTTCCTCTGATCCAGCACTGCAAGCCAGAATCACAATTATATTGATGACATGTGGCACCTCCCAGCAGAACACTCGCTACTCTGGGCTGTGCTGGAGCAGCGAGGTGCTATTTCAGGAGGAAGCACAGTGACAATTACAGGCAGGGCTGCAGGGCCACCATGTCATTTCAGGCCATAGCCAGGAATGTGACACTAAGAGACCCAGCAAAAGAGCTGACCTCTGGTTTTAGGGCACATGTTTCCTTCTGTGAAGGCCAGACCCACTGCTGAGACTTTAAAGGGTCTTGAGAAGCAGCATGGGCAGACACTACACAGTATCTGGAAATCCGCAGCACTTTAGTCCTTGCTAGCTCTGATCCTTGCTGCTGTGAGCAGACAGGTCGGTGACTATCCACTCCTCTGCTGCCACTCCCAAAAACTGGGTCTAACACCACCCAGCTCCCAGGGCAAATTGCAAAGGTGTCTGTCTAGCTGAGTGCACAATGGCTTATAAAAGCCAGCCACACAGTAATTGCTGCTGAAGAAAGAGCTGCTCTTGAAGCAGCCCAGGCCAAACATGTGAAAGGGCATATGGCAGCACAACTGCTCCAGGCAATCCGGGTCTGCCTCAGGAGAGTCAGATTTTCCAAGCAGCTGAATGCAGAGTGATTCAGTAGCTAGAGGAGTACACTGAAGGCTCAGAAAACTTGTGTTCAGCCCCTCTTCCTCCACCACAGAACCCTTGGGTGGCCTCAAACTTAAGTGCCCAAATCCCACGACTTCTGAGATAGCGCAATGCTCGGGAACAAGTGGAGCAAGGCATGAATGGCTGGAAATTTATGGACTTTGAAGGCATTATCTTGTGCAGAGGGGAAGTTCCCTTTTACAGTGTCTGTCGTCAAATACCTTGGAGAAATGAGGCTAAGGTATCCAGATATTGCAAGTCCAGTAAATTAAGTAAGGGAATTAGCTCCAAAATCTGGAGTGAGCTGATGCTGCAGCTCCCCAGTCACCTGCTGATGCTCCAGCCACATTCCTTGGGCACACACAGAAACCACCAAGACATCACACAGTGCCCAGCAACAGTCAGCACTGTGCTCAGAATATGTGAGCAAGAACTTTGCTGCATATTTCTGGGCTTTAAAAATAGAAGCTGGAAACCACATTACTCTGTCCATGGGGCTCAGAAGCCACAATGACAGCTCTGCCCTGCCAGGCTGCAGCCTGCAGCGCCTGGCCTGATGGCAGAAAAGTCCAAAACATGTCTCTTGTGACAGATTTCTCCCTTTGATGCTGGTCTCCTGGTCATCAGCACTGGCTGACTTTGATAAGTCATGAGGACACAGAGGTCCATGGATGAACAGACACCAAGCAGCTGTTTGCACCCCACGAGTAGGGCTGCTGGATGTCTTCTAAAGTTCACACTAAAGCAGGTGAGACTGTTCAGAGTAAAACAACAACAACTAATCATGGGGAGATCATCCCACCAAAATACCCCATGATTATGCTGCCAGGGTCATACCTACAGGCTGCTGTTGCAGGTTGTTGGCCTTTTCTGTAAAGGAGCAACAACGTGGCACTCTCAGGGCAGACACCTTCCATCAACAGCAGCTGCTGAGGCCATTGCTACTTTTGTAAGTAGCTACTTTCTTAACCAAAACCAGGGTTAAGATTCCTAAAGCTGCAGTGGCTATTCCCCAAAGGGGGATTATCTCAGCACTCATGGTTGTCTACACAGGGAACGTTTTAGGGGCTTATTGAGCAGAGAGAATCAGACAAGTCAACTCATATCCACCTGTGTCAGGCAGAACCTCCCCTGCTCAGCTCCAAGGAGGAGAAATCATCGCAGCAGCAAAAACCACTGTCAAACCCTTCACAAGTGGTGTCCATCTGTCCTTGATTCTCCAGAAAACCCAGCAGTCATCCCACTGAACCTCACCGTGCCAGAAAAATGCTGTTTGATTTCTGTACCAGCAGTTCTTCCTCCTCCTCCCACCAACCTTGGAGCATGGGATGGAGACCACAGCTTCAGCCCTCACCCTGCTGGAAACCTGCCCACCTCCATGGACACATGCCCATGTACTCCAGCTGAGGAGCAGAGCAGGATGAGATGGAACTTTGATTTTCAGGCTCTCTGAAAGAAGAACTGCCACTTTAACATTCATCCTGACAAGACCCCTGCAAGATGTTCCAGGGTTCTCTGCTCTGTGGTGGCAGAGGGCAGTTATTGCTGCCCAGTGTATGAGGACAAGCATCCAATGCCTGCCTTCAGTATGGAGAGTCTATGCAGCAAGTGCTGTACATACCCCTTCCTTCTCTGGCTACACATGCCAGCACCACAAATCACAGGCTGTTTCCTTACAGGGATGGGAGGGAAGGAGTATTTTTCCCTAGACAAGCATTAACACTTTGCAAGTGTCCTCTGATAAAGATGTCTCTCTAAAACCTGGAGTTTGGAGATAATTTAGAAAAGAGAAGGAAAAAGAAAACCCAGCCAAAATCCTGCTAAAAGTCACATCTGTATTAACTGTTACTTATCTGTGCTCTCTGTTCTTTGTAAAACTGAATGTCACCTGGTATTTGGGCTAAGAGGACTGCAGTGTCCACCACATCAGTCCCACCTCCCAGACTCCTGCCCCACAGTGCTGACTTCCAGGAGATGGCATCTGGCTCACTGAAGAGCCCTGTGGACTTAACAGGGTAGAGACTTGCAGTGTTTCTCTAGTATATGAGATCAAGTTAACGATGGTGCCTTCATCACCCAGCGAATTCAATTAATCACAGCAGCGAATTCAATTAATGTGCCACAAAAAGGCACCTCAAAAGCAGTGTTGTGTTCAGCTTAAATCCTTATTGATGAAATTGCAAGCAGATACAGAGAGCAGTCAAATACAGATTTTGCAGAAATAGCATATTTTGAAGTTTGGAGGTGGGACTTCTGGAGCTGATGTACTATCACTTTGGAAAGCACTTCACTCTATGCTGCTAGAGCACACTTGAGCACAGCTACTGTGATGAAGAAACTCTGCAGGGCACGAGAGGTCCTGTTGGCCTCAGCCACAAAAGTGTGGTCCCCCCATCCCATCGCAGGCCTTTGGTACAGACTGGCAGTACGTGAAAAGGGTAAAGGGAGCTGCAGAATCACGGGGAGATCCATATCACATCCCCTTTCACCAGTGGGCACCAGGGCCCCCTCCTTCTGCTAGACCTGAACCTGCAGGCACAGACCTTTCCATCCAGTTACAGAGGCAGGATCAGGGTGTACACCCAGCTGCAGCTGTGGCTAAGATCCCACACATGTGTCTTACTGACTTCAGCATTTCCAAATAACTCAGAAGTTTTACTTGGAATAGGGAGGTTGTTGAAAACAGAGAAAGAGAGAAGTGCCAGCTCCCACAGGGAGTGACGGAGTGGGCAGGCTCATGGCCTTGATAGGGAAAAGTCTGAAATAAAAGAACCTAAACCTAAAAATAAAGTTCCTGAGATTTGCCCCGTGTTTCAGCATGGTGGATGAGTGCAAGCCTTGCTTTATCCACCCAAATGAACTTGCATAAAGAGATATTTCTGTTGCTGCTCAACTACTGGGTGCTACTGGGAAGCTGTGTGATCCTGTGTGAGCATTACAGCATCACCCAGAAGGCCCTGTCTGGAGATCATGCTGGGGCTGCACGTGTAATCTGGGAGGACATCCTGTCTTCAGGGGCATTTGAAGTTAACCCAAATTCAGCTGCAGGTAGTTTAAAGAACAAAACAGAGCAAACAAACAAAAAACCCCACCACAAAGCAACAAAACCAAAACAAACAACTGCGGAAGTGAAGCAATCCCAACTATTGCAGGACCAGCACATCAACAGCAGGCTGCACTGAGGCGTCCTTGTCTCATCCCTTTTGATTGGAAACTCTGGGGTAGGACCAGCCTCTAACTAGGAGTGCACTAAGGAGATGCGTGTCACTAATAATCGCATTCCACACAATTATCAAGAACAACTTTCATGATGAACTTCAAAGAGGAAGAGCATTTTTAGACAATTATGTTTTTTGCTGCATTACAAATTCAAAACCTGGCTAATCGAAATTGGAAATGAGTATTTTATCTAGGTTTAATTTCTTGGCTTGTACACCACAGAACTCTTGCATCCCTGGGAGATGAAGGTACTCTGCCTGTGCAGATGGTGAAGGTGCAAGCTGTGCCCAGGAACTTGCTTCAGTGATAACACAGAACATCTGGGCCAGAGCAGAGCAACACAGCAAAGAAGACACATACTTTTCGAGGTCTCAAAGAGGTGAAGTGACTTGTTTTGTGGCCAAAGAAAGCATGAAGGCTTCTTTAAATATTTCAGCCACTGGAGCTTCAAGCCTTAGAAGGCAACATTTTTATCCCAAAATAACGACCTCCAAAGTGCTACTTCCAGGAATAACCTCACAGTGCTGGCAAGGACCACTATTTCCAAGGGAATGTTACAAAAATGGCAGTTCTTCCACACCATCAACTGCACCAGCCCTCAGAGCTGCCAGAGCACCGGCAGAGGAAGGCTCTAACTGCGTGTGCCTTCATCACCCTGTTAGACACGATGCAACCATTAATTTTTAGCTCCCTACCTTTGTCTTGGTTGTCTTGGTCACCCTGCTGTTTATGGACTGTCACTTTGTTCATATAAATATACTCCTCATCGCCACCTGCAACCAAAGGGAAAAGTGAACCCTATACCCACACGTTGCTTTTACACTGCTAAGTTTTTCCACAAAGACAGATGTAAAAAGTGTCTCCGCTGAGTACATTTGGGGTGGGAATGTTGGTTGAGAAAACGTGCAGGAAAAACCCCAAGCAATAATAAAAAGCTGAAAAATTAAGTGCTTTATAGTCAGGAAATTCCGTAAGTTAAAATTTCTACTTAAACATTAACTTGGCCAAACAGTACATCCTGTGTATCTTACAAAGTGGATTAAATAAACTTAAGATTTAATATGGAAAACAGAAAGGATCAGGAATCTTGGGAATCCTTTGCTTGTAAAGCTGGACACATAACTATAGTAATTTTACATAAACAATTAGAGGTCATTGCAAAAATAAACTCGGTTTCATTTTCTCTGTCTAATTTTCATGTCTCTGCTTCCCACCAGCCTCCAAAAAAATGCTGCTTCAAGACCCTGCAGCAATTCCCATGACAGCCCACTGCCCCATCCGTAGTTTTCCATGCCATACCACTGGATTTGGTGTAGACTCGCAGAAGGTCAGACAGGAAGCTCTTCTTCACAACAGCAGTGCTGCTCAAGTTCTCCTTGTCCAGTATCCTCAGAAAATCTTCAAGCTCTGTGAGCAGCTGCTCGAGAGCTACAACAGAAACAGAGACAACTTTTGGCAAAGCAGTTGGGTTGTGTGTCAAAAGAGGACATACATTAATTCCATGTGTTCCAAGACTCTTTGCATTTTTCTGCCCAGAAATAATTAATATTTAATTTTCCAGCTTGAGCCCTATCTCTATTTTTGGAAAGAAAGTGGGTCCCAAACTGAAAAAGTCTCCAACTTCCCTTAGTCTGTTCATACATCAACGAAATCCTATGTAAATACCTATTCTTCTTCCAATAGGACTTCTTCCTCAAGTGGGAAAACCTGAGGAACTCTGAGCATTAGGGCTGAGATTACATGAAAGCAGTTTGCAAGATCTTGATACCTGCATCGTGAGTCCTGGCAAACATCACTCAAGCCTCATCTGGCTTGGGATCTACCAAAGCCCTGCCTTTTGCTTCCTCTTTCTAAGCCTTGTTTGGGAGGGATGGGGCCCTGGGCAACCTGGTCTAGTGGAAGGTGCCCCTGCCCGTAGAAGGGAGGCTGGAACCAGATGATACTTAAGGTCCTTTCCAGCACAAACCAATCCATGATTTTTTGATTCATTCTATGATTATTTCTCTCTGTGTATTGATTTGAAAATGTTTATTATGTGTCTTCCAAAAAGACCACAAAAAAATTTCCCAAAACCCCCACATACAGAAACCACAATTCAGAAACTTCTCAAGTCATCTTGCTTGGGTAGTGGCCTCACAGATCATTGTACCATGTGGAACTTAAGACACAAGACTCAGCAGCATCTCACAGAGCCTCGGGAAACCCTGTTGTACCAAAGACATGCCTGCACACCCGAAACAAGCAGCTCGGACACACCACTCCCCAGCACCAGCAGCTGAGCCAGGCCAATGGGTTTGTTTTCCTCCCGGGGAGGTGCTACACAGCTCTGCCACCAACAAATCACTTCTCTGACGGGGCTCACGCTGAAGCAACAGACGTTTAATTGCTTGCTTTTGTTCACACCGAGGTTTATCGCGGGCTAATTAGCAGCAGTGGCAGGAGCCCATTCTGGAGAGGAAATAACAGGGTATTATGTGGAGAGAGAGGAAGCGCCGGCACAAGAATGACAGTGTGTGGGAAAAACAGGCCAAACCCTGCCGGGACTGTTCCTCCCCTCTGGAGGCTCCCCTGCTACCCTGCTCCATCGCTCCTGGATGCTGAGGATCTGTGGAGGAGATGGGCAGTGAAGCTTGGGTTTGACACCACCACGCTGCCAGCCAGGCAGTGACTCCTCAGCACACCACCAGGGAATGTGACTTATGGATAGCTTAACCAGACAATGCTCCATTCCCTTTACTTACAGAATTTCCACACTGTATGATCCCATGGTACCCCTAAGAGTCACAGTTCACACCAATGAGCTAGGAAACTGTTAATATATTGGTTTCATAATACAAAACATCTGAGTATCTCTAGCTCAAAGAGCTATCACCTCCAAAGTCACAAAGAACATTTGTTAAAGGACAGGAGAAAGCCATCACCTTCTTACTCCCCCATCTCTAGCCACGAGGCAACCTTTCCTTGGGTGAATACAAGTTAGAAAATTGATAAATATAGCACAAATTATACTGTAAAGGTTTATGTTGCTAGACACTAATTGAGAAAACTTGCTACTGCTCTCAAACTGTATTAATCTTCACTAGCTTGACTGTAAAAGTCTAATGACTGCAGATCAATCAATAACAGCTCCAGAGGAACTGACCAACTGGTAATTACTCATACTTCGTTTTATACCCTCTACACCAAATTAATTCTCTTCGGTCTGACTTAGGACCAGTAGGGAGTGGAAAACACCTGCATCGTGCTGTGTTGACTTGAATGGTTTTGCTAGCTGCTGCTCTGCCCAGAGAAAACAAGCATCACTTCAATAAACAGCAGCTTTTCCCCATAAACTGTGAGGAAACAGGTAGTATTTGCTGACAACAATATTGGATGCCACTGATACCATTAAGCAATGAACTGTGAGATTTGGTGTTAAACCTACTCCTAAGTGGCTCCTCTCAAGCTCTAGGGACCCTATTTCTTCTAAGTTTAAGAAAACCCCACTAGGGGAAGTCACAGCCTTGCTATACTCATCTGCTTCAGTGGCCCACTTCAGAAAATTTAAATTGAGGTCAGTTCCTGCTGGTCAGGCCAGCTGGACAGGTCATTTATGCGTCAGGGTGAAGAAACAGCACAAAGAACACCTAACCTGAATTTGAAGCTTCAGAAGCGGGTCAGCTCCCAGCATCTGCTCACATGGATGTCACAACAGTGGATTTGCAGGGAAGGGTGTACAATTCCCATTCCCTCCTCCACCCCCACGACTGCAGAAAATGAATTTATTCTTCTCCCAGGCATCCACAGCTAGAGCACACAGGGCTGACTGCTTATGAATAGCACAGCCCATACAGTAGGTTACATTTTCCAACCCACCAAAGCTGAACTCAGGCTTCTAGAGACTCAAAGCAGCTCATTTAGGATGTGATCCTGGGGCCACAGAGGTCAGTGGAAAGACTCTGTCAGCCTTGAATGGATTCAGAGTTCAGGGACTCAAGAGAGATTAATCTTGCTCTTCTCCAGCAAGAAGCAGTATATAAACCATCTGCTCCTATGCAAGTATCTCACTGATCTCAGCTGGACATTCCCAATCCAAACCTGATACCTGCAAAAACAAACTGCCACTGACCATTCCTTCTCTTATATCAGGGCTAATAGCACAAGCTAATACTTATCAGACTGATGAACGTGGGAAGTAAGAAGAATTAATACAATGAGGGTCTATAAGGTCTTCTGTGCCAGCAAGTATCACAGCAGGTCCCAGCAGGTCAATAGGACTAAAAACAACAGAAAGCCCTTATACATCAAACAATCTCAGGATTTCAAATGCTGGAAGTTACTGATTGATCTCAGCTAAAGACCTACCGTGCTGTGGTGATGATGTATGGAACATGCTCATGGTAAAACCAGGCTGGTGGTTATCCAAAGCAGCCTGAAACAAATGGTTCTCCCTCCAAGCTGCCCTGTTTTGCTCTCCTTACCTTAGCAGTTTAGAAATGAGAGCACATAAAGAGGTAATCCCTGTAGCTAGGTTTGCTCTGCAGGGCAATAGTTGCAGATGCGAAGAACATACTTGCAAAATCAAATGACTGTGAGCAGCAGGATGAGAGAATCAGAAGTAGACAAAAGCCCAAGTCACAAGGCAGTGCAATTCTTAGAGGTGCTTTTGTGAAACCTTTTTCCACAGCTACATCACTCTTCTCAACTCTCACAGCACTTCTTTGTAACTCAAGTAATCTTTCTGGCACCATCTCAAATAAATACTTCCATAGCATATGCAAAAATTCATTTTGCTTCATGGAAAACAGGAGATTACCTCTAAGGTTAAGACTGTCAGAAGAATTAAGAGGCTTGGCCAAGGTCACTGTGAATACCTGTACTGAGTCCAATCCTCTCAAGCCCCGGGATATGACCTACTCCAATTTCTTACAAAGCATGGCCACAGATCTGGGGTACCATTAGAAATCACAGCACAGCTCATGTCATGTTCTTCTCCATGGCAACAGGCATCAGTAACTGGATAAAACCCATCAGGATTTCACAAAACACAATGGAGAGAGGTGTAGGAGCATCACAGTCACTGGAAAACTTACTTGATTTGCATCTGCAGTGAGTGGATGATCATCATTGAAAGGAGTGTATTTTAAAGTGTATAGAAATATCACATCTTTACTGATGTAATAAGGACTTACGGAGGGGGGTTTACAATCAGAACTACCAACTCCTTCCTCTTGCATGAACTTAACTGGATGATATGTTCTCCCTCCTTTTACTCCAAGACAATGCAGCCCTATTTACAGAAACTCCTGGGCTGCCTCTGCCCACTGCAGACTCTCTAGGTTTGACGTCTGCAACTTTGGTCGCAGCAATAAGCAAAGAAATGCTTTAAACACAACTGATCTGTTTCAACAGCAATTCAGTGGCAGTAGGGAGAGCACTTAAAAGGGCTTCTTTTGGCAGGAGTCTATGCCTTTCTTTGCAGACAGAAAAGTCTCTTGCATTGCAGCAGTGTCTATCCTAGTTCATGAGAAGCTAGAGCCAAGAATGAAGCAGCTTGCAAAGACCTCATTGAGGAAGCACATTCCTTGCAAAAGAGCTGCCAATTTTGCCTGACACCAAGGTCACTGAAAGGTAAATGACCATTAAACTAGATTATAAAAGCCATTCCTACCAATAACCACTGATCTCTGTCATTGTGCTACAATAACAACCTACATCTACATCTAATTACTTCATGTCTTGGCCTTATGAGGAAATGGAAAGACAGGCTCAGAATGAACTTCCATTCAAGTGTTTTAGTAACCACTGGGCAGGATTATGTTATACCATTTAATCTAAATTCAATTACTTATTTTATCAAGGTAGAGGGCCCCAGTCACCAGACAAAGAACTGTAATGAGACCTACGAAAAGACAACTCTTTCTCTGCTGAGATGAGAGGTGAAAGACAAGGAGTATCATTTGCTAACAGGAAACTAAGGCATAGAGAGATAAAGTGATTAGTCCAAGGATACTAACAATATACGTTCATATTCTTCAGCAGATCAGGAATATGACCTAGCTTTTCTGTGTCCCAGCCTGCAGATCTTGCTCCCAACTTCCCTGTCCTTGGATCCCAAAGTGCTGGGAGATATCCCACCCTCCTGCCCAAAGCAGGGTCTGGGTTTGGTAGTTTCAGCTTCACCCTTCCTTTCTAGAAGGGGCTGGGCTAAACTGCTGGCAAACAGCTCGATTCAGGCACCAAGTAAATACCTGCCGCCTGTGTCATGCCAAGCTTTTTGCTTCAAAAACTTTGGAAACTCCCAAGATTGTAAAACTGGTAAAAGGCTGGTCCATGAAGGCCTTGGTTCACAGGAGCAGAGGGGCTCCTGAGGGGTATCTTGAGGGCCCTGCTCATGCCCAGCCTCCCCCGACTGCCTCCACCTTGCAGTACCTCCCACAGCAACCTCT